TAGGTAACACCTTCAGTGCTAGAAGGGAGTGGGGTTTGCTCTCTGTTTATATACAGTAACTTGCCCTGACAGTGTTGGTGGGGGAGTTGTTTTTTCCCTTGGTAGCTCCTAGACTAGGCTGTTGTTCACACACCACTCAAAAGAGACAATCACAAGCTAAAAAAGGAAACAAAAAGACCAGAAAACCTCCTCGCCAGCAATCAACATCCAGATAAACAGGGGTTGACACCAGGATTAACACCAGACAAACAAGCACTAAACAACAGCCTAATCTAGGAACTGCCAACTCAGACAATCAAGCAGTAAACAACAGCCTAATCTAGGAACTACAGTACCAAAGAGAAAAACCACCCCCCGCACACAGGGAAAGCTGCTGTGTATAAGCAGAGAGCAAACCCCACTCCCTTCTAGCACTGAAGATGTTACCTAGCTGGGTAACGAAACGTCTGCAAGAAAACAGCGAAGCTCAGAGAGCACCAAGGACTCCACAGCAAATAAATTAGTTTGTGCATCTTGGTCAAATGTCTCTACAGATGGGGAAACGGGTATAGACATGTAAAGACGTGCAAATTCTGACCATGGGTAGGAATGAATGTTTGATGAAAGAAGTGAAATGGCTGGTATAAGAGAATACTTCTGTTTCTTTGGAAATGCATCTGGTAAAGTAAGGAGAGGGTGAAAATGAATGGGCGCTGAATGACTGAGGACTGAGTAGAGAAGCGAGTGGCACGTATGTGGGGAGGAGAGCAAGCAAGTGAGCTGCTGGGTCAGTGCTTCCTCAGAGGAGGGAGTTACACTTGCTACTTGGAAGAAGCAGGCACCCCCCTGCTGAAGAGCCCCCCCCCCCAAATCAGGTGGATTTAAACAACTATTTCTCCTGTAACACATTTTCCTATTTTAGAGGAGGTTATGGAAAGTGGTGGGGCTGTAACACAGAGCTCCCTAGAGGAAACAAGTTACCTAGATCTGTGGAGGCAGATCTTGAAAAATCATTACTGTGTCTTTTTTGCATTCCATTCTGAAGATCCACTCGCTGAGATAAGTGCAGTCTACGATCCTCTGTTATTGATCATGAAGATCTGACCCCGGTAGGACTGGGTTTCCGTCCTGAATGGAAATGGAAATGGAAACCGGCATCGTCAGCAGTTCCACTGCCAGTTTATATTCTGATTGCAGTGAAAAAGGTCACAGCTAAATTTGTCCATGTGGACCAATCTTGCTTAGCGTTGTAAATAATGTTCACGAATTAAGCAGAAAGCAGGCAAAAGATGAAAAGAGAGTCCCTTTACTGCAGAGGACCAAGGTTGTAAACTCAGCATTTACCGTACTGAACAGAAGTCATGCACCTGTTCAGTCTGTCCTTCCTCTTTTTCACAGTTTGTATTGGTAAGAGTGAAAATTCCAGAGCGGTATTTCAGGGCTGCTCCACCCAACTCATTTGCCTCCTGCGGCTACTTCTCTGTGATTGTGCACCACACAATTACAGCAGCAATCGACCCACCAGCAATTGAGTCTTAATTTTATTTGCGGATTTAGAGCAGTACAGTACTTTTATTGAGCTAAACTGTAGTGGTGTGACTTGAGCTATTCCTTCCCAGTAATTTTATTTTTAAAAAACAACAACCAGCAAGTCCAATGAATGGTAGTGCTTTTCTGTCCTTTGAACCTGTATGAAAGGTTTATTTAAATCTAATGGCAATATTTTATTGTGTGTGGGTGGGTGTCTATATGCACGTGTTGTTTTGGAATTCTTTGGATCCTGTACAAAGAAGGATTAATTCATTGAGACAGGTGCATACAAGTGCACCCGTAGTGTTATTGGACTGGGGAAAAAGAGGCATTAACAATAAGGATACGATGATTTTATTCCCCAATCAATTTTTCCTGCAACATCATAGTGAGAGAGATCTCCCCTCCGCCCCCGTTTATGTACAAATAAGATTGGAGAACAGTAATTTGTTGTTATGCAGAACAAATGACTGGTCAAACATGGTGAGTACTTAATTAAACCACATATTCCAGGGGAAAAGGCTGTAAAAAACAAAAAAGTCTATATGTATAAAAAAACCCATATTGATTAGTCAAGTCTCTGTGTTTTGATCACTGGCCAGCAAAACAACACTTGAAAAATAAGCTTACAGCTGTCCTGCTGAAATAATAGTGTAACCTGTATACTAGAAAAACTGATAATGTTTAGTATAATGTTTATTGCTAACACAAACTATAAAACTGTGGTACTAATACTATTAAAATTATAAGTTTAAGACTTTAAACATGAGAGTGAATACAGTGAAAATTTGTAAAGTTTAGGTAAAACTACAGAGTGATGGCTTAGAACAGTGTTGTCCAAACTTGGCCACTTTAAGATGAGTGGACTTCAACTCCCA